TTGGGAAGTTTTCTGTCATTAATTCTGTGAACAGCTTTTTTAAGTCATTTGTATTTTCTCCTGCTACTTCATGGATTCCTATCAGTCTTATGTTATTCTTCTTTGCATCATCTAGGAGTTGCTGGATCAATTTCTCATGATCCCCTACTGTTTTTAAGAGACCTCTCTTTTCATGGTCACTGACTGCAATCTTATCTTCTATATCTGAGAGTCTATCTTCATATTCTTTTATTCTGTTGCGTACACTTTCTATGGAGTGTTTAATCTCCTGGAGATCTGTTTGAATCTGTTTTATGGATTCCATTTCTTTCCTATGTTGGGCATTTATTGTTTCCATTTCTTTCTTATGCTGGGCCTTCATGGCTTCTCTCGTGGTCCTGAGCTCATCTATTTTTTTGTCAGTTTCTGTTCTAGAGTCTCGAATCACGACTTTCATTTTGCTCAGCATCTCTATGGTTATCTGGGAAATTAATTCTGTTTTAAATTTTTCTAGAGCCTGATTGATCTGTTTTGTTACTTCCTGTGCTTTGGGTTCAGGGTGTCCTGGTGGTTCACTATCGGCCTTTTCATCCTCAATTGCCCTTGGTGAACTGTAAGTCTGTCTTTGTGTCTTGCTTAAGTGTTTTCTCATTTTTATTTTTGTTGTGGGGCTGTCCTTGGTTTAATCTCTGGGTCATCACCCAAATCTTCCTGATACAGTTGCGCCCTAGCTTCTGGGTCTCTAACGACCCACAGACATTCTCATCTTCATAACATCAGAGAAAACAGCTCATCAAATCAACCGCCATGCTTTATCCCAACTGATACAATCAGCAACACATTAAGATCAAGCACAAGTTGGAAACTGACCACCTGTGGTAGTCACTAGTCCATCACCCTTAAACCATTTGAATTAAATTGAAATCAAGAAGCAGTCCAAAACATGTGTGCAGTGAACAAACTCTTCAATATAGTATATTTACTATTTAGGATGTGGGCTCTGACAGAGCTAGGACGCAAGACCCCTGATGTCAGTTAGCTGATGGCTGAACCCTATGACACGGACTGACCTCGGGCTGCAAGGCCCAGATTGAGTTCCCCAACCTTCTGAACTGTTGAATTCCACACCGTTCCACTACAGGTTTCCCACGCCCTTTCTTTAAAGATGTTCAAAGTTGGGAACTCAGAAAAATACCCTTTATGACCATCTCTGCCTCTGCAGAGTGGGTCCAAAGACTGGCACAATCAGGAGGTCTTTGAGTACGTGCGGGGGGGTGGGGGGAGTTAGAGGAGTTGTGGGGTTTCAAGGGTGCCCATGCGGCTACTTTTCTGGCGCTGGAGTGATAGCGGCTCCCGGCAGTAGAGGGTGTGGCTATCCTTCCTGGGGGTGAATTGGGGCCCAGGCAGCCCTCCTGGCGCTGGAGTGATGGCGGCTCCCAGCGGGAGAGGATGTGGCTCTTATTTTGTTTTTTTATATAAGAAAAATCATGTAATATTTAAGCTTGTGTATCTGATTTATTTCATTTAACACATGGTTTTAAGATACATCCATATTTATCACTGTAATATATGTCTTTTACTCTTGGAAAGATACCTTGAAGGGGAATAGATATGTGAAATGGAATTTTTTCTATTTTTAGTTTTTTAAGGAATCTCCGTATTGATTTCCATAATGATTGTACTAGTTTAAATTCCCCCATCAATGTAGAAAGGTTCTGTTTTTCCTGCACCCTTGCCAGCACTTGTTATTATTTGATTTCTTGATGATGGCCATTCTTATATTCTAAGAGGGAGTCTCAATGTTGTTTTAATTTGCACTTCTTTAATTACCAGAGATATTGAACATTTCTTCATATATATATATTGGGCATACATACTTCTTTTGATAAGTGTCTACTCATTTTAGTTATCAGTATTTTTTGACTTGGACTTCTGTATTGGGGGAAGGATCCTAATTTTTTTTTTTATTGGGTTGTTTACTTATTCTAGTCCCTTGAAGACTAGCTGGTAAATTTTTTGTTTGTTTTTTGAGACAGAGTGTAACTTTAAATTCAGGCTGACCCTTAACTCATTATGTAGCTCAGGCTCGCTTCAAACTCACACCAATCCTCCTGCCTCTGCCTCCCAGGTGCTGGGATTACAGGCATGAGCCATCATACCTAGCTTTCGAAAATTTTTATTTTAGCAATATAAAGGTTATCTCTTTGCTCTGTTGATTGTTTATTTTGCTCTGTGGAAGTTTTTACATTTGATATGATCCCATTTGTTGGTCCTTGGTACTATTTCCTGTGTACTGCGGTTCTATTCAGAAAGTCCTTGCCAATGACTTCAAGAGTTTTATCAATTTTATCTTCTAGCAGATTGTTTCTGTTTTTACATTTGGCTCTATGATCCATTTTGATTTTAGTTTAGTATATGGTGAGAAATATGGGTGTAGATTCATCATCTACATGTAGATAGCCAATTTTCCTACAGAGTTGGTTTTCCCTCTGGTTTATGTTTATGGCCCCCTTGTCAAAGAGCAAATAGTAGAATGTGGTTGGGTTTTTTTTCCTGCGTCTTCTATTCTGTTTCATTGATCTGCATATCTGTTTTTGTGCCAGAACCATATAGTTTTTATCATTATAGTTTTGTAGTATAGCATGAAGTCCTGTAATGTGATGCCTCCCACTTTGGTATTTTTATTCAGAATTCCTTATATTATTCTGAGTCTTTCCTTGTTCTGTATAATTTTAGGATTGTTTTTTCCAGTTTTGTGAAGAATGATGTTGGTATTTTGACTAGGATTGCATTTAATCTGTGTATCAATTTTGAAAGTATTGGTATTT